GGGTGCACGATGGCGGCGTAGCGGTCCACGTTGATGAGCGTCAGGAAGATGCAGCTGCCGTACATGTTCATCTGGAAGATGGCCCCCGCCGTCTGGCACAGGAGGTCCGGGAAGGGCCAGTGGTGCAGTGCGTAGTAGGAGATGCGCACGGGCAGCGACAGGGTGAAGAGCAGGTCGCTGGCCGCCAGGTTGCACATGTACACGCTCACCACCGAGTGCACGCGCAGAGCGCGCAGGAAGACCCAGAGGGCCAGCGCGTTGAGGGGTAGCCCGGCCGCCAGCACCAGGCTGTAGACCACCATGTGCAGGCGGTGGGTGGGCCGGTAGTCGGGGCACGGGAGAACAGAGCTGTTGGTAGAAGAGGTGTTGGCTGAGGAGTTGGCCAACATGGTGCCAGACTGGGAGGGGGAGCTAGGCTGGCGGCATCATGGGGCACACCAGGGTCTGAGCACGGCGTTCACCTCCAGGATGGGGGACCCGGAGGCTGTACAGAGACAGTCCGAAGCAAGCAGAGGCAGGGCATGGGAATGTGGGCTATGGCTGCAGGAAGAGAGGTTGCCAAGGATTGGGTGCTTTCAGTCACAGCTTCGTCAGCAGTGGAGACCTGAAATAGGAAGGCAAGCCAAAAGTCAGAGTTATGCAGGGACAGGGCCACAGGCACAAATGTTTACTAGCTGGACTGGCCGGCCTCTGAGTTTTTTCTCAACCTTAGGGTTTTCCCCACCATCCATCGGGCCAGAATAGCTTCCTAGAGCAGGACTGTACAGCACGCTGTTAAATGCCCAGGTTCTGGAGTCAGGGACCCCACACTGCCTGGATTTAAATCCTGGCCTTGCCAATTTGTTTAGCTGTCTGACCTCAGGAAAGTTAATCTCTCTGAACCTCTTTTGTCTTACATGGGGGAAAAAGAGAGAGAGAGGAATTTTTTTTTTCCTTTTTTACTGACCGGTAACGGGATCGCAACCGTCGGTGTTGTGCCCACACCGTGCTCAGCCAGTGAGCAGCCAGTGAGCGGGAACCGGTCTCCACATGGGATCTGAACCCTCGGCAGGAGGGCCGCCGCACTCCCAAGCGGCGCACTCTCCAGTGCGCCACCAGGCGGGCCCAAGAGAGAGAGAGAGGAATTTAATAGTAGTGCTTACTTCATGAGGTTGTTAGGAGATTAAATACGGTGATGTGCTCATATGTCAAATGCTTAGATGGCTGTTATTATCTCACAATGTCAATCCTTCCCTCTCTCCATCCTCTCTCCTCCTGTCCTTCTTCTCTTCTTCCCTCCCTTCCGAATCTTTTCCTTCCTTCCTTCAACCCACAAATGCTTACTGATCAAGCCTTTAGAAGGTTTCAGGCATGTTCACAGCAGTGAACAAAACAAAGGCCTTGCCGCTGCCTACTTTACGTTCCATTTGAGGGAGACAGATAATAGAGAAGTGTAAGTAAACAGGTAGTGTGTCAGGTGGCAAGAAGTACTATGGAGCACCTCCCCTGGAGAGGTGTCAGGCTGGCTTCCCATTGTCTAAAGAACAAGGTTCAAACTCCTGAGAACACTACAAAATCCCAGGCTCACTCATCGCATCCGCCATTTCTCCTGTGTGGGCTGGGTCTAGCTCGGTTGACCTCTTGGCTGGCTGGTTAGCTCAGTTG